ATACGAATTCTTGTGACATTTGCTATGTCTGTTTTATTCAAATTTTGCATTAAAAAACAATATATGTTATTATATGTAAGGCGTCGACGTAAAATCAGGCGCTTGTCAAAATAATGAAATCAAACGAGCAGGCATACTTCCGCCAGTTTGTCAAATAATTTTATAGAATTTTTGTTTTTTGGCTCAACATTTCCTTCTGAATTTTATAGGAAAACATAAATTCAAGGCGCAAAATGTGTACGTTTCCAGTTTTCAAGGACTCTCAATCTAATGAAACTATTAAAATTTGAATTGCATTTTTTTCTTATTTTACTTCGGCAACCAGGCGACCCCACCTCTTTCATATGCCAATATTTCAACTTCTATTCAAGATAAAAGGGCTTTTATTTCATCGAAACCAAGGCAAATAAATAGGCTTGCAGAAGATACCAATAACTCTACATGCCAAAAAATTGACGAGCATCTGATTCTACCACGTCGTGACACATATTATTCTGTCCCCGTGGTTTTATGCACCCCGCATTATTTGCATAATTTGTGATCATTTTCCTTTTTCATTCTTTACTAAAATTAACAGAATTGCACAATTTCACATGTTTGTGCCCAGTTTGCATAATTTCATTTTTTAATTTAAAAAAAAATTTTTTAAAATTTTTGGGGGGGGCATAAAATCACCTGGACAAATTATTGTGCAACCTACTGTTTCCATATCTCCTCCACAGAAGGCTACGTTTAGGTCTATAATACCTCTTGTTGTCCACACTAGTCATCTTGTCGAAACAATAGCTTACAACCGCTTTGATGATTTAAAAGTACACTGTTGTAGTCCTACTGGGTACGTGCCTGTCAAAATAACTTGGTTTGACATGCCCACAAAAACGTCATCGACAGCTTAGCATCAATTAACACAATGAGGGTTCATGTTCTATTCATTCCACAATGTTTGAAGACGTTCTTTTTGGGGACATTTAAAGAAAGAAGACTAAAACTTCGATATCCATACTCTTTTTTCAATTCTGAAAGGCTTTTTATTTTAATTGAAAAATATAACTGGACAGCAATAATGATATGGATACTAAGAAAGCAAGTTTGTTCTCTGATTAGTATTACACTAATTATTCAAAATGTCCTGCAACATTGTCTTTATTCTGTTGCTGATTTGACATATTGTCCACTCATTCCTTTAAATACTTTTAAAAAATACCGACTTAAGAAAAATATTAAGAAAGCGAGTAAAACAATCAACACAGGTGTGACATCAAGTATAAACACACACACACACACACACACACACACAACACACACACACACACACACACACACACACACAAAAGCAACAAAAAGAAGACGAACAATATGCTGGGAGTAGAGGAAAAGTTCCCATTCTTAAAACCATATCCGTACGTCGTGTTTTACTATCGTATCCATACGACGCGGAGAACTCCGTGCCACCACTTTCAAAGAGGACATTTACTGGTTAATCCGATCCGTATGCTTTCCATTGCGGTCTGTCAAAATGAATTTTTGAGAAATACTGAAAGTTTTTAAGAGATCTCCGTACTAGAAGTATTCTAAAATGTGAAGCATACAACCCGGAGATACAAAATGACCACAGGGCGTACGGATAGGGTTAAAATTAAGGTGTTGCACATTGTGTCATGCCAAGGCCAACCAGCGCTGAGAGGATACATTTTTATATAACGCCGCAATAGAAAGATTGAAAAACATGAACTTGATTTTAAAATTCTCAACAGAAAGGAATTAAACCCAAGTCTTCAGCGTGGGACGTCCCGGTGCCCAATGTTCACACCGCACGAGATGGACTCTCCTATTAACAATAACTTTTTTTTAAAGCGACATACAGTCAAACCTGCATTACGACCACCTGTACAAACGTCCACCCCCCCCCCCCCCCCTTTGCGTAAAAAAAAATCCATCGTGTAAAACGGTCACCTGTTCAAAGTGGCTGTGGCTACACTCTTTTATCTACACAAATCGAGAGAAGAAAAAAAAACTGTCTTAGAACGGCCACGCAAATCTTTCTTCGTTCAACGATTTGTTATAAATTATGTATTGGCTCATGACACTGTGGACGAGCCGTCGTGATCCATTCGCCTGACGTTATTGTTATATGTTAGTCCTTCCAATGTCTGATCATGTTGGGGAGGTCCCACCCACTTGTTTACCCAATTTGACCACCCAGTGACAATACATTTTCAGCTGCAGGCGAGGAATGCGTGCTGTCCGTCATAACCGAAAAGCCCCGCCCACAACTCATAAACAAAACGTAAGTGAGGTGACCAGTCACTATTTACCCAGTCGTTAACAATGGGAGTGGACATGAACTGACGACAGAAGCTTCACTCGTTCTCCCATTGGTGGTTACCCATTGGTTTATTTTACTTTGTCTTCCTTGTTTGGTGCTTTTCGTTTTGTTTCAACCTTCCACCCTGTCTTGTTCATTGAACACACTTTGTAGAATGTAACACTTGTTACAGTAGTTACGAGACTTCGTCTCTCCGTATAAACAAAAATAAATATTAGATGTTTCACACATTCAGATAAATCCAGCGGCAGATGACGGCATCAATGTAAAAATGAGACAAATTATAATTCAAGTTCTGTTGGATTTCAATTTGATCTTTCGTTTGGCTGATCAATTTTATTTTATTTTATTTTTATTTTTTGGGGGAGGGGGGGTGGTAAGTGTTTTACGACGTTTGCAACTGCATAAGGTCATATTATGAGCGTGTGAAACACACCAAATATTTTCAGCTGGTAGGAAATTTTGAATTTTGCCCGGGTGGCGGCCAAAGCCTACTCTTATCGATCTTGGACCGCGTAGTACTACTATGACGTCGATGTCACAAATACTCTTAACAATTATTCCGTAGAGCCGTGGAAGCGTGTGCATGCGTCCCTAAAAGTAAAAGTAACTGTGCGATGTTGTTGAAGCGTACCGTACGCGTCCCACAGTCCAGTGTTGGGGAAGCATACGTGCCCCCTGCTGTGCTCTGGAACCGTACACGCCCTGAACAACAGCCTTTTAAAATGGGAACTTTCCCTTTACTCCTAGCTTATTGTTCGTTTTCTTTCTATTGTTTTTGTGTTTATTATTCTTATTCCTACACCTGCGTTGATTGCTTTGCTCGCTTGTTTCTTATTTTTCCTAAGTCGGTGTTTTGTTGAACTATTTAAAAGAATAAGAGGACACACAATATGTCCGATCATCAACAGAGCAAAGGCAATGATGCAGGACATTTTGGACCATGATAATATTACTAATCAGAGAACTAGTTTGTACTCTAAGTACCCATATTATTATTGGTGCCAGTTTATATTTTTCAATTAATAAAAGAAAAAAAATCGACAAAGTTGTATAGACATCGAAGTTAGTCTTCTTTCTTTAGGTAAGTGCCCTAAAACGGGACGTCGTCAAGCGTTATCGAATGAATAGAATGCGCACCCTGAATGTGTTAATTGACGCTATATAAGCTGTTGATGATGTTTTTTGTGGACATGTCGAAATTGGCTATTTTGACAAGCATATACCCAGTGCAGCGGTGAATAGTGCTATTTGAATTTGAAAGACCGTTGTGTGCTATCAGGCTGCATATTATTAAAAACGCCACATTTCAATTTCTATTTTTACATGATCGAATTAAGAGAAATACAGGAGTTTTGCAAACAAGTTTAAATATCCTCCATTTAAAACAATAAACTCAAGTTTAATGCACTCCTGTTCTTCATTATACTTTCTGAGTTGACCGTAGTTACAAACTGCGGTTGGTGGGTGCTCTGGTGTGGGGTTTTTTTTCATTACAATTTTTAAAAAAACAATACTTATATCGCCCTTATCTCTCCTGCTGTCTTTTTATCTCAATCTCCAATTTCACCTCAAATCTTCAAGCTTCATATTATTATGGTTTATTTCTGTTGCAAAGATCGCATTACATAACCCTAACAGAATGACAAAGATACTTGATAAAAATCCTCTCCACTTGGGAATCGATTTCGCTTCTCCTTATCACAACAGCGAGGCGTTTAACTGCTTCACCGAACACTGGTTGTTTCTGCAATCGAGGACTTGATAATAAGATTAATTATGGCCACTGAAATCATAGTATATCACAGTTGAAGTTTCTTTATTTCACGTAAGTGGAAATGGGTACCCTTCTATAGACGGCGAAAGACCTGATCAATCTGCTGGTGTACGGGTCATTGTTATATACATGTATCTATATCTCAAGTAATACTACTTTTCAGGCATACTAACTTGGGTAAGGTGTAAACAAAGTCGTCTAGCATACAGAGACCTGCCTGTGAATCATCATCATCGTCCTTTTGAAGCCCATTTTCCCCCTTTTTTCCATTTGTGTCCACGTTTATTATTTCATTATTATAATGTTGCAATTATTATTATTTTCAATATATTATTTTGTTTTACTTTTTTACCTTTTCGGTACGTATCGTTTGTTTAGTGGGAGGGGAGGGGAGGGGAGGGGAGGGGGGGGGGGGCTTTCGTGGCCGAGAGGTTAATGTGTTTGCCCCTCATTCTCATTCATTAGGTCCCTGGTTCGAATCCAGGTCGCGATGGAACATTTTCTTCTCTAAAATATTCTCCTTTCGCATCCTTTCCTGCTCTATAAGTTATAACAGTGTTCTGTCGTCAGCTTTCGCTCCACTTTCTGGCTCAACCCCCTCCTCCCATTGCCCACTCAACTGGGCTCCTGGCTCTTTCTGCAGCCTTTCTACAGCTACTCCTTGGCTCCTTTTTATTGCTAACTTTCAGTCACACATAGAGACGATAGATTTTTTTATAGGAGAGAAGGAGCAAACCACATTAGATCACCCGCAAACTCACAGTCTGATTCATCATGTCACGCTAATAACTGTGCCTGGTCTACAGCAGGGAACTGCTGCTTTTTCTTTCCTAATCCTTACTATTGTCATTTTCCTCTATTTCTTTTGTATATTTGTCACATTCTTGTAACCTGCTATTTCCGGGGTGCCTTAATAGTCGAAGCAGACCTTGTGCTGTTGAAGCTAGAGAGGTGAGCAGAGTAAGTCTGATGCCCTGTAAGGACTTCTCTGTTGACACCCATCCCTTGGCGCTCAAATGACCTTATGCAGTTCCGAGCGCCGTAAAACCCTCTACTAATAAAACACATTATGAATGCCTCTACTTCTTAGTTTAGTTTTAGTAGAGGTTTTACGGCGCTCGCAACTGCATAAGGTCACATGAGCGCCAATGGGGGGAAGTCAACAGAGAAGTCTTTACACTACAGGGAATCAGGCTTTCTCTGCTCACCTCTCTTGCTTCAACTTCAACAGCACAAAGTCTGCTTCGACTATAAAGGCACCCCGGAAATAGCGGGTCACAAGAGAGTGACAAACATACAAAAGAAGTAAAAGAAAAATGACGATCAGGAAAGAAAAGGGAGCAGTTCCCCATATACAGTTCAGGCACATTTATGAGCATGACATTGATGAATCACCCCATTTACAATTCTACTCAGCATAAGAACATGCTAACGTTCCCCCTTTGGGAATGGCCTAAAGACACTTCAGTCAGTAGCTTCTACTTTTCTAAAAACACAGGAGACAAACCACTGTAAATGATTTATACATCACTATCATATCAACACAATTTATATCATTTTGAAAGCAGGTTGCAGTTTAACCATGTCTATCATGGCTAACCCGAGCTAAATGGGATACAACATACAAAAATTTTTTTAAAAATGAAAACAAAAGAAGACAGATAAAGACAATAGATGTTTGGTAAGAAAGAAGGAGAAAACTACACCAGAGCACCTGCTGCCAACCACCCACCTTCTTCTGCACAAAATCTGTGAACCCAAAATTAGTTTAGTTTTAGTAACTGTTTTACGGCACTTGCAACACAATAAAGTCATATAAGTGCCGAAAATTAAAGGTGTTACAAGAGAGTAAAAAACACAGAAAAGAAGGAGGGGAAATAAAGACGATAGACGTTTGATAGGAAAGAAGAAACAACACCATGCAGAGCACCCTGCAACCACCCATGAACCCAAAATGAACATGCTAATGGACAGAAATAAAAAAGAGAACTCAATACTAGACATTTAGTTTATGATGATGATGAACACTTTATTTGGTTTCTTCTTAAAAGAAAATAATAATAAAAAAACAATAGACAGCACATGTGACTTCACAATTCACTCTGGAAATCCCCTCTTCGCCCAGACTCAACGTGTATAACTCACACATTCCCTCATTAAACAAAAACCAAGGAATAAAGAAGTATCGACCACAAATGGATGGACTATATCTATCTATAGCACAAAAACAATAGAATCCACTCAAAGATTCACGCATGTTCACTTATTTCTTGAAATACAGAGCATCGCTTTCTTAATTAATAACAACATTTCAGCATAAATTACAGTTAAACCTGCTCTAGCAACAGCCACCTATATAAGACAATCACCAAAACAAATGACTACTTCCCATTTCCACAATTGCATTTTTTAGATATATGTGAGGTGTGTTGACAAAATGAGTTACTACTTCTCGTAATCCACAAATGGAGATATTGGCCAAAAAATCGACACTAGGATCAAATTTGTAAATTTGCTATTGATGCCATATTCTTTAACTATAACGTCCCTTTTTTTATTTCATACTTATAAATTGTAAAAACTTCACCTATAATAAGCTTGGTGTATCTATTTCCATAGAGGGCTCAAATCCTAAACGTAACTCATTTTGTCAGCACGCTTCACATATTAATATCATAACGACACATCCACCTCGCAACCTCAGTGTCTTCATTTCTAAACACAGTGAAAACAGTTCATAACAAAGAGTGAGCTTAAGAAGAAGTCACATTTTCAATGTTAATAAAAAATGGAGACAAAACAAGAAAGCACAGAGGTCGCGACTTGTCTAAGACAACTACTTTTCTACTGAACAATGGGCAGCCCTCCTAGATAATTTCCACGTATATATATATAGGACTTGCCAGATATTCAACAGCTTCTACAACAAGTTGTGGAGAATACAGAAATAGAAAGCAGAAGCCCTGGAATAAAAGTAACAGCCATATGTGAGGTGTGCTGACAAAAAGGATGAACTTCTCCATATGTGAGGTGTGCTGACAAAAAGGATGAACTTCTCCATATGTGTGAGGTGTGCTGACAAAAAGGATGAACTTCTCCATATGTGAGGTGTGCTAACAAAAAGGATGAACTTCTCCATATGTGAGGTGTGCTAACAAAAAGGATGAACTTCTCCATATGTGAGGTGTGCTAACAAAAAGGATGAACTTCTCCATATGTGAGGTGTGCTAACAAAAAGGATGAACTTCTCCATATGTGAGGTGTGCTGACAAAAAGGATGAACTTCTCCATATGTGAGGTGTGCTGACAAAATGGGTTGCTTCTTGGATTTTAGCCTTTCATGAAAATTGATACATCAACTTTATATGTAGGTGGGCTTTATACAATGTGCAAGTGTGGAATAATAAAAGACACAGTAGACTTGAACAAAAAGGCCTCAATTGAAAATCAATAAATATGACCCCAGTGTAAATTTTTAGCCGATATCTCCATTCTTGGATAGCGAAAAGTAACTCAATTTGTCAGCGTCAGCAATTACAAGTGCCAAAGATTAGAGGCGTTACTTGAGGGGAACAGACAAAGAAAAAGAACGAGGAGAGAGATGGACGAAACACGTCTGTTAGGAAAGAAGGAGAAAGATCACTTCAGAGCACCTGCAAACCACCCACACCCACACCACAAGCCTGAGGACATTCACTTCATTTAAGCAGAAAGTTGAAAATATCAGTAATAATAATAATAATAATAATAATAATAATAATAATAATAATAATAATAATAATAATAATAATAATAATAATAATAATAATAGGCAGCATTTGTGTAGCACAAATTCTCTCTCAACAGCAAGCTCTGTGCGCAGTCCATGACAAAAACATCAGCCTCATTTAGTGAACTAAATTCCTATTTTTCTTTTCCATTGAAGGCAAAGAGAATCGACATCTATAGCCACAGACACTGGTCAACAAATCAACTATTGTGACAATCCTCCAAGTTCTCAATTCAAAACAAAACAACTTTCTCAACATATCCCGCAAAGAGTACATGCAGTGACACACCTGAGCTCATAGTTAACATTGATCACCCTACCTCTACACCGGCACCTTAGCATCCAACTTGACCCGCGCCAAACGCTGGCCATTATGCAAAGACCTCCTAGCAATACACAAAGCTAAGAGCATCCACTTCCGATAACTCGGCAATGACGCATAACAGAAAGGCAAACAAGTGAACAAGCAAACAGGTGAACATGCAGCAGCAGAAATGAGGCCTCCTGTAGCTGTTGTGCCTTTCAGGGAATCAAGAAATCACTATCTCAGAATTACAAAGTCCTATCTAACATTTTTGTCCGTTTTGAGTTACTAAGACCATGAGGTCTGAAACCAAATGTTGTATCTGCTCAATGAAAACTGTAAGATTATTCGGAGTCGTTATCAAGATATTCAAAGAACTGCATTAGAAAAGGCTAAACATGTGAAACTTTAAAGTTTTTACCTCAAATTGTTCGTAACTCTAGGTACTGAGCAGATAGAACTTTGTACTTCTAGGGTAGCAAAAAGGTAAGGGGAACCAACATACAGTTCAGGACAACCTAAATGATTCCCCAAACAACCCAAAGTCAAGAGTGCCCCATCGAGGTATCAATCAAACCATTGTCATCTGCAATGTACTTCAGCACGGTACCAACTAAGGTTTTGGTAAGCTCACATTTAGTTAACAATAACATATGACTCGTGTTTCTAAAAAAATATAACGAATGCATTTTTCTTCAGTTCTCCTAAAACATGAATTAAAAATGATCAACAGACTAAAAAGCACAAAGGATCACAGACACCCGTCGCAGCTCAGAAAGAGTATAACGTCTGCAAAATCTTGTGCCTCGCATCGGAAGCCTTCTCCAAGAGGGGATGGGGTCTGTGGAAAAACAAAGGAATACATTTTATCCAACAGATCGCTGTATTGAAATTACAAAGTTCTATTTGACATTTTTGGCTCTTTTGAGTTACTTAATACCATGAGGTCACAAACCTAAATGTCCTATCTGTTCTATCAAATGATAAGATTATTTAAAGTCATGATCAAGATATATTCAAAGAACTCCATATGAAAAAGCTTGACATTGTGAAACTCAAAATTTTTAAGGTCCAATTTCTCAAAACTAGGTACTGAGCGGATAAAACTTTGTAATTCTGAGATAGCGAGATGTCATTTTTTTTCAGCCTCTAGCATTGAAACGTATACATCTTTTACTACAAACTACAACAGACTCGGATAACAGTAACGGAGCACAGAAGAAATGGAGAGGTCCAAATCAGAACACCCATCAACCACCCTCTTGCCACTTAGAGCCCTAACTAACAAACCCACATGAAATCTGGAACATGAATACACCAGGGACAAAACAGCCACAAATTCATTAGGAAATACGGACGGACATGTTTGCCTGTGCCGATAAAATAATAAACAAATAACGCTACAATTGTCACCACTAACACCCAAGACATCTCATCAAAAGAGATTTTTTTTTTAAAGCAAGGTAAGAGTTATACAACACACGCTACTTCTGTATACAAATAATGAAATCAAACAAGCCCCCCCCCCCCCCCTACCTCCCTCACTTGAGTCATGAAGGTTTAGATCTGACCTTTACTTTTGATCGACATATTGGTGTATATGAGAGTTTCCATTGATTTGATTTGCATACGGTCATATGAGCGCCAGAAGATTAGAGGTGTTACAAGATAGTAATAAACATAAAAAAGAAGAAGGGGAGAGAAGGATGATAGATGTTTGATGGGAAAGAAGAAGCAAACCACACCAGAGAACCCACCAACCACCCACCATTGATCTGAGCAAAGACAGGCACATCAACACTTAAATGGTTTCATGACGTTTGCAAAACAAATAGGTCACATAAGTGCCGAAGGTAAGAGTAGTGTTACTAGAGCATAACATACAAAGAAAAGAAGAAGAGATACGGACGACAGATATTTGATTGGTTTGATTGGAAAAAAGGAGCAAACCACACCAGAGCATCCGCCAGCCACCCCTTACTTGTGTGGGAAACATTTGAGGCAAATAAATAATAACAACACATAGGGGAGAAAACAATGAAGTACTTTTAATTCCAGTTTTTTGAGTACCCTAAATGAGAAGCACATCAACGCGATAATGGTACTTTTGTACAGGAAGAACAGCGAGACGGACAGAGGTGAAGCAGAGAAATGGGAAAGAAGTAGAACCTATCAGTTTTGCCCTCCAACCACCCACTCTGGATTCACACCCCTCGCATACCAGTGAGTTCCTTCACAGAAGAGTCCCATATAATCAGACATGGGGATAAGGTATTGAGATGGGGGAAAAAATTGTTTTAAATTGGCCATTGGGCGAAAAAAAAAAATTGGTTTCTTCGATGTCATTAGATTGACGAGTGCCACCATGCCACACATTTTCATCAAACACCTTTAGTCCTGATCTTTTTTTTAAAATGTGTGTTACTCTCTTGTAACACCTCTAATCCTCAGCAGTTATATGACCTTATTGTGTTGCAAGTGCCGTGAAACTCTTACCAAAACTGAAAAAAAAATAAAAAAATTTCAGAACAATAAATAAGCCAACAAGACGGACACTGACTTGCTGAGGAAGGCCAACATCGTCTGTCGTAACTCCGAGGGGAAGTAGGGCTGTCGTACGATGTGCTCCAACACCAGCAGCGGGCCCACGATACTGCCTGGTGCCTTCATTTTCTTGTCTTCACCCTGTGCGGGGGATATATAGTTCAGTCCATTTATAACAGCCTCTGTTATTACAGGAACTTGGAAAAAAACTGATAAATTAAATCCCCGTTTTTGGTGGGGTTTTTCTTTAAAGTATAAGTAATAATATGAACCTGGCTATAACAGGGTTCAATTTGTTCAGACTCGGATATAACAGTGATCTTGCAGCACATGAACTTCATTCAATCGGCCAAATTATTAAAATTTGTCTCAACCAAGACGTTTCGCCTGTTTGTATGATCGCTTGCCTAAACACAAACTTTCAAACACATACCACCACCCCACCCAATAGTGTTGGGGTCACTGATTGATTCCGTCTCAATGTCAGCAAAACAGCCCACTGGAAAAGGATCTGTGGTAATCGAATTATATATATATATAGTAAGCTGAAGGTGCAATGGTACTGGTTGTTTCCCTTGATAACGGTTATAACAGGACTTGCTTATGACAGGGAAAAACTGCCGGTCCCGTCTGTCCTGTTATATCCGAGTTTGACTGTACATTTAATAATATTATATTACACAACAAATCGATGTGCAGAAAAATGGGAAGACAAGGAATAACATCAAGGGGCTAGCCCAGGATAGAGAGGAGAAAGGTGGAAAATGTTTGTTCGTTGCCTATGCCCTGGTGAAGGGTGAGAAAGGCAATGATGATGATACAACATTTCAAAAATATAGTTGAATACATATTTCAGGAAGAAAAAAAATTGAGAGAATAAATTGCTGGCCAGCTGTTCCAATGTACTAGGCTCAAAATTTTGTATTTCTGTTTTTCTTTTATTGCTGTTTCTTAATCTGTTGTACCACTTGCATCTCCTATAGGAATATATTATTGTCAAAATTCAAATTCTAAATAAATGTCGGAAAAAAAAGCAGAAGATACATAATTTGGGTACAATTGCTACAAAAACGAAAGAGTTTTTTCCCTCTCCTGAAAAATTTTGCTTTCAGGGCACAGTACATTTCAACAGTTTGCAAACAATGTTTTCTATACATACAAATGAAATACTTAGTATAAGTACGGTACAAAGGAAAAACAAAAATGTTCTCACTTTGCCCGTCTCTTCACTCACCTTTATGAGACCCAGGGCGACCAGAAAAGCATTGGCTACATCAGGGCCTGGCTTGTCCAGTGAGTTGAAGAGGTTCTGGAGCAGTCCATCTGAGGAGACAGAGTGAAAGTACTGTTTATTGATGACCACTACGAAGGAGACAGGGTGAAAATATTAGTGATGATCGCTATGAAGAGACAGGGTGAAAGCACTGTTTAGTGATGACTGCTATGAAAGAGACAGGTATAGTTAGTTTTAGTAGAGAGTTTTACGGCGCTCGCAACTGCATAAGGCCACATGAGCGCCAGAAGATTAGAGGTGTTACAAGAGAGTAACAAACATAAAAGAGAAGAAGGGGAGATAAGGACGATAGAAGATTGATAGTAAAGAAGAAGCAAACCACATCAGAGCACCCGCCAACCACCCACAAAGAGACAGGATGAAAGTAGTTTATTAATGACCGCTATGAAAGAGACAGGGTAAAAGTTCTGTTTACTAGTGATGACTGCTACAAATAGACAGGAGGATAGAACTGTTAAGAGGAGTCCGTCTGAGGACACAGGGTGAAAGTACTGTTTACTGAAGACCACAACAAGGAGATGGAATGAAAGTAGTCTACTAATGATGACTGCTATGAAGGAGAAAGGGTGAAAGTACTGTTGATTGATGACTGCTGTGAAGGAGAAAGGGTGAAAGTACTGTTGATTGATGACTGCTATGAAGGAGAAAGGGTGAAAGTACTATTGATTGATGACTGCTATGAAGGAGAAAGGGTGAAAGTACTATTGATTGATGACTGCTATGAAGGAGAAAGGGTGAAAGTACTGTTTAGTTATGGCCGCTTCTGATTTTTTCTCTCGTTTGGTGAGTGGGCATAAATCATGTGTGCATTATTATGCATGTCTGAGTGTGTGTGAACAACAGAAAAAGAGAGAGAGAGAGAGAGAGAGAGAGAGAGAGAGAGAGAGAGAGAGAGAGAGAGAGAGAGAGAGAGAGAGAGAGAGAGAGAGAGAGAGAGACAGAGAGAGAGGAAACAGAGAGAGAGACAGAGAGAGAGCAGGAGAAAAAAAGAGAGTCACACTACTTGTGTATTCTTTCTACATGCTCCATCAAGGTATCTATGTTCGTAATGGAAGTCTTTTAGTCACCATCAGCAGAGATAGGCAACTTTTCCCCACAAACACCACAGATTTTTCTCATCGTGTAAAAACAAGTAAGACCTATCAGCAGCACACTTCAACCACCCACCGTTGACGAATAATTAATTAGGTAATAAAAAAAAAAACCTATAAGTGTCCGTACATCATATGGAAAGGAAACATTTTGTACATTACCTGCACACTCGCACGATCTGATCTTGGCCTCATCATCTTTGCTCACCACCAGAGACACCTGTGCAACACACAACACATCTTGTATAAGAAAGTCAGAAGGCATCCTTTCTACAGAAAAGTAGTGATACATCAGAAGAATGCTACTGAAATTTTGTGAAAATGCTCTAAAAATTTTAACGAAATTGCATTTGCAAACAAAAGACAATAAAATGAATTGGCACCACTAACAATATAGGGTAAAACAGAAAACAAATTATGCTTCGAATAATAGCTGTTCTTTTGGTTAAAAAAAAAGGTAAAATAACGGAAAAATACAAAACCAGAAATCAGCTCCCTAACATCAGTTTAGTGCACAGAAGGAGTTCACAGCTCTGGTAAAGGGATAAAAAAACAACCAAAAAAAAAATGAATTTCTTTTTCCAAACAGTGACCAAAAACATCACTTACCTTGAGAATCATGGCCACAACTTTGTCAATGTTTGTTTTGTCTTCCTGAGAAACAAAGAAAGAGATCAGCTTGTTTTAGCAAAGTGTTTTACGGCACTAGCAACACAATAAGGACATATAATAAGTGCTGAAGATGAAAAGTGTTACAAAGAGTAACAAATACAAAAAAGAAGAGGGCAGACAAAGACGATAGATGTTCGATAGGAAAGAAGTAGCACACCGCACCAGAGCATCCGCAAAGGGAAAGCGTTCAGAGTGTCTTTTTGGGAGGAGGAGGAGGAGGAGGAGGAGGAGGAGAAGGAGAAGAAGAAGAAGAAGAAGAAGAAGAAGAAGAAGAAGAAGAAGAAGAAGAAGAGGAAGAGGAAGAAGATGAAGAAGAAGAAGAAGAAGAAGAAGAAGAAGATGAAGAAGAGGAAGAACAACAACAACAAGAAGAGCAAGAAGAACAAGAACAAGAACAACAAGAACAAGAAGAAAATAATAGTAACAAATGAATAGCACAAAGAACAAAACAAAACTACGACAACTGACCCCGAGCTCTTCAAGAATGGCGTCTCCGCTGTTGTGTCCCAGCTGAAGCAGTTTTGTTGGGGAAGGGAATGCTAAGAAATCTTTGACACTGATTTGCTGAAACAAAAAACAAAAGAAAAAAAAAACAACTTCACTACAGTGGACTCCAAAAATACCCCAGTATTTGTAGTAAAATCTGAAAGAAAATAATATAATCCCTTATTTTTTCTTTGCTATTTCAGAAACCTCTCTATACCAAAGGTCCCACAGCTTTCAGTTTACGCAGACTCCTCTGTTTTAGTTTTAGTCAGTTTTACAGCACTTGCAACTCAATAAGGTCATTTAAGTGCTGAATTCATGAAGAATAGACGTATTACAAGAGAGTATCATACACAAAAAAGAAGGAGGAGAGATAAGGATGATAGTAGTTCAATAGGAAAAAAGGAGAAAACCATACCAGAGCACCCGCCAACCATCCACGGACTCCTTTCTATACAATTCAAGTCGATTTAAGAGATTATTACCACAGCTGAGATTTTAATGTGTCAGCCATAACTTATTGAGTTCCCATCATTTCTTGTTTGTCCTTAAGAGATATGGACACAGGAATCTGTAGTGTAAAATGAAAATTGCCAGTATATTAGTGTTTTAGCACCTATAAAATTCAGCTTGCACTGTATGCTTCCCAGGCAGTTGAGATAGTTTCAGAACGCTATATAGTGTACTGGGGTAATAGTATAGACTGTAAAGTGCATAAAGCTTGCTGTGGAGTGGGAATGTATGCTATACAAATGGTATCTTCTATTATTATTATTATTTTAGTTTTAGTAAGTGTTTTACAGCACTTGCAACACAATACGGTCATACAAGTGTCGAAGAATAGATGTTTAACAAGAGAGTAACATACACAAAAAAGAAGGAGGAGAGATAAGGATGATAGACATTTGATAGGAAAGAAAGAGCAAACCACACCATACCACCCACCAACCACCCAGAGTCCTTTGTATACAATTCAAGTCCATTTATGAGATGACTACCACAGCTGAGATTTTAATGTGTCAGCCATAACTTATGAGTTCCAATCATTTCTCGTTTGTCATTAGAGATATGGACACAGGAATCTGTAGTGTATAATGAAAATTGCTAGTACATTAGTGTTTTAGCACCTATAAAAGGCAGCTTGCACTGTATGCTTCCCAGGAAGTTGAGATTGTTTCAGAATGCTATATGGTTTTAGTTTTAGTAAGTTTTACGGCACTTGCAATACGACAAGGTCATAAAAGTGCCGAAGATTGGAGGTGTTACAAGAGAGTAACAAACACAAAAAAGGAGGAGGAGAGAGAAGGACGATAGATGTTCGATAGGAAAGGAGCAAACCACACCAGAGCACCCGCCAACCACCCACCTATGGTCTGCTGGGGTAATAGTATAGACTGTAAAGTGCATAGAGCTTGCTGTTGACCGGGAATTTGAGTTATACAAAAGATATAGATTATTATTATTATTAATAAAAGACAGATCTTTGCTTTCACACAAAGTACTAGACTTCAGTTCCCTACTGAGCTAATATTTTTTTGTGCATCTCCATCTTCCTTCCGGAAAGTTCTTTCTTTTTCGTATAAGTTAGTTTTATGGCACTTGCAACATAAATAGGTCATAATATATGTGCGGAAGATTTGGAGAGTATAAAAAAACACACAAAAAAGAGGAAGAGATCAGGATGATAGATGTTCCATAAGAAAGAAGACGCAAATCACACCAGAGCTTCCGAAAACCACCCACAAAAAAAAAAGGAACAAAATCTCTCAACTGTAAGTCTTCTGTGCTCTGCTCCTAAACCAAAGACTCTGATAATCCAGGATGAGGCTCATTGATCAGGTTTTAGTTAAGTTTAGTTTTTGTAAGAGTTTTACGGCGCTTGCAACACTATAAGGTCATTTAAGTGCTGGAGAATAGAGTTGTTTTTTAGTTTTAGTAAGACTTTTACGGCACTTGCAACAAAATAAGGTGATACAAATGCCAGAGAATAGATGTCTTACAAGAGAGTAACATACATAAAAAAGAAGGAGTAGAGATAAAGATAAAGACGATAGATGTTTGATAGGAGAAAAGAAGAAAACCACTCCAGAGCACCCGCCAACCACCCACAATTGTTCAGTTCATGTTTAATAAACACAATAATGGCTGAGGAACAAATAAACAGTTACACCGCTAACAGTAACAATTTTTTTTGATAAGCATTTTAAGACAGATGCAACACAATTAAGTCATATAAGTGCAGAAGATTAAAGGTGCTACAAGAGAGTAACAAACACAAATAAGGAGGAGCGAAAAAAACGATAAGACGTTTGATAGGAAAGAAGGAGTAAACCACACAAGAGCACCCGCCAACCACCCACAAGGAATATGTGATGTTAACACATATGTAGAGGACGAAACCAGAACACCTGTCAACCACCCTCTCCTTTGCAACATGAAGCTCAGACAAACAAACCCAGACGACATCTGAATAGAAAAAACACACAGCGAGAAAGGATCATATCATTATAATTTATTCAATAAAACCGTCACAAATAAACAAGTACAAATGGCCCTTCTTTCTTTGATAAACTTTGTAAAAAAAACATCATCCGCTATCGCTTGACTGTAACAAACCACCAAATATAAAGTGGAGTATGAGGGGGCCTAACAGAAAAGGGGGAAAGGAAGCATTATTATACATTAGCCTTGCATATATATATATTGCTTAACCATAAAATAAAAACAAAACCGAGCCTGGCACATTCAGGTCGACATCATTATAAGGAGTGGATGGAATATAAAGCTCAGGATGCCATCTCTGACAAACCACCAGGCTGTAAACAAAGCCATGATGAAGCCACAATAAAACCCGCAGTCTTCTCTGTATAAAACAAAATAATCGAGGTGATCGAGACATGGCGAGCTAAGAACAGCGGCTGACACTGGCAGCACACACCGCAAGGAAAAAGCTAAAAAACTGATGGTTTTTCAGTTTTATTAAGAGTTTTACGGCACTTGCAACACAATAAGGTCATACAAGCAGAAGAGGACACAGCTAAAAAAAAAAAAGGAATAGGAACAGACCACAGAAAAATGCCTATGGGCTTCCGATACAAGCTATGTAACTAAAATTTTCAACAAAAATTTTTTTTAAACCCCAACCCGAGAGGAAGACAAGAGAAAACTGCTATTCAAAAGGCACTACACAAACCCATCAACCAATTTCTAAAAATAATACATTTCCAATTTGTCGGAGAAAACTTTCCTCGGTAAACTTCTTGAATCTAATTCTTGTAAAGAGAAGTACAATGACACTAAAAAAACCTTGTCATTTTAGTTTCGCTTTAGTAAGGTTTTACGGCACTCGCAACAGCATTCTACTAGGTCATATGAGCGCCAAGGGGTGGATGTCAACAGAGAAGTACAAACCGGGAATCAGGCTTACTCTGCTCACCTCTCAAGCCTCAACAGAA